GCTTCCCAACCCCACTGGCAATACAAGTACTTTCCTCTGTGCCTCGCAGACTCTGCAGTCACTCTGCTGGTTAACAAAAAGCACAGTCCAGCCTATTCCACTTAGAGCGCATCTCCACTCCACAATAACTTGGTATCCCAAAATAGCATTGCAGTGTAGACACACCCTTAATGTCCAGCTGTTCCACTTAAACCCCAGCACTTAGAATTCCTTATAGTGAAATCTGGATTATTTAATGAAGTATAGCATTTCAGTTAATAGCAACTAGAACTCTTTGAAACAAATGGTTACATATAAAATAAAACCATAAAGACGCATTCTAGAGACTAGACTTAATTATCAAGCTACTTTCATCTCTAATGAAGAATTACTCACGTGAAATCCTTGCAGTGTTTTATAGCCAAACAGGCTCTGACCCTTCTTCCAGTAGACATGCATGCTGTGAGTTTGACTCCTGGCTGAACAAGTCATTGTATCTCTTTGCATTCCAAGATATATCAGACAAATCTTTTATCTTGATTCATAAACAGGACCCTTCCCCACTGCTGTTTGTTTCTTCCTACAGAGTTCCTGATTTGTAGATCTCATAATTTATGAATTTGCACCTGGCTCAGTATGTAAATACTGTAGACATACAGGTTGAAGCATATGGTAAAGAGGTGGGTACCAGGAAATTATGCCATTACCGCCTACCTGAAAGGAATTTCTTCGAAGTATCTCTTCTTCTGGTGACCTACCTTATCTCCAAGATCTTAATAATATAATTTTCAATATAAATATCTAACTCCTAAAATATTATCCATACATTAATTTTGCAGTGATTATGATGACAAGTAGTCCACTTGTTCTCAGAAGAGAACTCGTGGTTATCCTTTGAACTACCATGCAGATGTTTGACCCTGATAATCACTGTAAACCCCTATTTACTCCTGTAACCTCTGCCAACTGGCACCAAGGGGGTCCTAGGTCACAACTGTGTCCTAGAAATGTTCTATCTATAGCCTGTTTCTTCCAAAGTTGTGGCATAGTTTGGGACAGAGTTAAAATGAAGCTGGGCCTGATTTTCAACTCTATTCCAGTGGGGTATTATTTACTTGTAAAAATCGACTTAAGTCCAGGGACATATGATCACATAAGTAAATGTGACAAAGATGAGAATTGGGCCTGCTTAGGATTAGTGTACGGTACAAAAGGTACTGTGTTTAATTATGTTGGGGGACAGTTTTGTGTTAAGTGGGTCACTTTCCTGTTTGTCCATAGCGTAAATGGGCCCATGTAGCTAGTCACATTATGGACACAGTCATCTCTGCCTTCCTTCAGAAAAAAAATCCATATTTAGTTGCTGTTGAAATAAATACAACTTGTGAAGTTGAAGTCCAAAGCTTAATCAATGCTTCTCTGCAGTTTCAGAAAACAATTGTGTATAATGTGGCAAATTAGTCTCTTTCCATACTTGTTCAGATTTTCAGAAGAAAACAATCTCAACACTACTACAATAATTCACTCTTATCTTTCTCCTACATCTTTATACATTTTCTTTTTCTCAGACAGGAAAACAGTCCCTACAGATTACATCTAGGAAAAGATACTTGTAACCAGAGATTTCTACTTTATTTCTAGTATAATTATCATATTGGCTAAATTGTATTATTAGTCTTGTTTGGTGTTTGATCCTTATTGCTGCATGGCTGTGTCTACATTGGCATGATTTTGCGCAAAATCTTGCCACCTGTCTACACCGGCCGTGAGTACTTGCGCAAGAACACTGACATTCTAATGTAGGAAATCAGTACTTTTTGTGCAAATACTCTGACGCTCCCGCTCAGGGATAAGCCCTCTTGCGCAACTGTTCTTGCGCAAGAGGCCAGTGTAGACAGGCAACGTTAATTTCTTGCGCAAGAAAGCCCAATGGCTAAAATGGCCATTGGAGCTTTCTTGGACAAGACAGCATCTACACTGGCACGGACGCTTTTGCGCAAAAGCACATCTCTTGCACAAAGGCACATGCCAGTGTAGACGCTCTCTTGTGCAAATACTTTAACACAAAAACTCTTGCGTTAAAAGTATTTGCGCAAAATCATGCCAGTGTAGATGTAGCCCATGTGTGAAAAGAACTTCCAGAAAAATTCTTATATCCAGTAAAATCCTAATAATTCATGGTCTTCAGATATCCCACGTTGTCTTGGAAGGTGTCAGTTCATAGGAGCAAAGAGGAGGGGGAAAAAACACAAAAGGAAAAGAATGATGGAGTAGGATATATAGACAGATGAAAGATGTTCATAAGCAGAGACAAGGGGGCTTGATCACCCAGTAGTGTAATAAATCAGCATAGTGCCCTTGATTGTAATGCTTTTTTATCCACTGAGGAGCTAGCCCAAGAATCTTTTTTAAAATTAACTCTTTTAGTAATTAAAAAACCAGCATGTTAAGGACATATGTTCTGTGGAAAATGATCTCTACAGTCTCACACTAAAAAAGATACTCAAGATATGTTACTATTGTTTCCTTGAAAGAAATTGTGTAAGCAGATATGTCAAACATATACTGAGGCTATAGTAACTTCAGATAAATGCCCACTGTTACAAATAAATAAACGCATGGTGACCTGACATAATATTGCCAAAATAACCTAAGAATGAGGTTGCCAAGGTAACCTATGAGGATGTTCTCCTGACATATCTGAGGAATTTTACAGCATTACTCATAAATGTTGGAACAATGAGTGTTGCACCCTGGGCTTAAAGTGGTTTCTTGCAAATAACTGGATTTAGATTCAATGGCTTAGTACTCTTCTGTTCCAGCACCCCTGGTAGTACTTAGCAGATAAATAGTGTTTTCAAACTATATGTATGAAACTCTTTACATAGATAGGTATTATCATCACCCCTATACTACAAATGGGTAAACTGAGAAATTAAATATTTTAAAACTTTTGTCCTGGACGCTATCCATTTGTTGGTGGAGAGAGCCAGGTACAGTTGTGTTTTTATGTTGTGTGATAAAGTCAGACCATAACCCAGTGAGAGCAGTGCACAGAGGTTCCCTGGTCCCTGACCAGGAGTCACAGGGACCAGCCATCTGATTCCCAGGAGCTGCCTTAGATAAATGCTACCCAGATCCCAGACCCCCCTCCCATGCCCCAACCCCTTGTCCCAATCCTGAACCCTTTCCTGTACTCCAAACCCTCGTATATTTTCTGAACCAAAATTAAAGACATGTTAGTCACACCACTGACCCAGTAGCCATGCCTCCTGCCACAAGAAGTCCCATCTTTGGAGGTAGTACTCCCAGGGTCAAGATGGATACATGACCAGAAGTAAAGGATGTTGTGTGACCCCTCGAAGAATGCCTCCCGCTGTCCTCCTACCAATAGGGATGGATTTGGGCCCCAAGGAACACCCCTCCATATGCAACTATCCTACAATTGCATTAACCCAATTTGCATTGCATAAACTCGGGGGAGTGGCTGGGGGAAGTCTTCCCTCTAAGATTTTCCTCTCAAGCAAAGTGAATTTTGTCTTGTGCACCAGTATTTAGTTCATGTGCGCTTGTTCAGATGTGTGCCACTGTGGCACCCAAGTTATTAATAAATATTTTATAAACCTCTCTCTTTTCCCTTGCTGCCATGTCTCCTCCCCTCCCATCCCCTCATCCCATCTGCTCCACTGGTGCCTGCTGCCCCCCACCCCTGACCCTTCTCTGCTGTCCTGGCTCTTGCCCTTCTCTCTCCCCTCAGCCCTCCTGGGACCTGCCCCCCTTCCCTGCACCAGCCCTTCTCTTCCCCCTGTGTCCACTCTTCCTCTAGTTCCACTCTTCTGTTACTATCCCTCTCCACCCTTTCTCTCTACCCACCTGCCCTGCCTCTCTCCTCTGGTGCATGTCCCTCCCCTCTATGTGTCTGCCCTTCTGCTTCATCCCCACAATCCTCTGGTACCTGCACCTTCCCTTACCCCTGCACCTTCCTGGAGCATTCCCCTCCCTTCACTGCCCCTGCCCTCCTTCTCCCTGGTACCCACCTCCTCACCACCCTCTGTCCCAGTTCCCCTCACACATGACTTGCTCCATCCCCTGCCTTCCTCACACCCACCATGCTCACCCTTCCTTTCAACCCCTCTTCTCCCAGCACCCACTCCTCCCCTCTCCTCTTCTTCCCTCTTGCCCCTCTTCTCTCCCAGCATCACTGTGTCCCCTCTCTTCTCACACCCCCACTGACACCTTCCCAGCCATCCCACTCCTCTCCCCTCCCCCGTTTGCCCTTTTACTCATTGACTCCTCGTGGCTCCCTGTCATTTGTCTCTCCTCCACCCTGCTCCTTGCCTTCCCTTTTCTTCTCCTGCCCTTCCCCTCTCTCCTCAGCACAAGACCCTTTCTCGCTTCACCCCCATCTTTCCCTTAGTTCTGCCTCTGACCCTTCCCTGACCTTCTGCCTTTAACATGGAAAGAAGTTTGTGGGGCTTGAAGCCAGGGCTATGGTGCCAGGACTGAAGTAGAGGATGCCCACAGTGCTATTTTATGCCCAATCCTTGTGGACTGCCCAGCTCCAACTGGAGTAAAATGGCAGCCACCTGAGGCCCATTCCGGTAAAATGACCCTGGCTGAAATGTGCCTCGTGCAGCTACTGCTTGACTCCAGCTAGAGACAGGTCTTCCCCCAGGGACCCGAACCGCAGTACTAAAAATAGCACCATGGGAGTCCTCTACTGCAGTCCTGGTACCTGCCAAGCCCAAACACACCCTGCCCCACAGTGCAGCGGCCCAACTGGGCTCCACACAGCTCCTGCCAGGGCTCTAAGGAGGAGACTGAGGCGGTGCTGTCTGACCAGGACCTTTCGAGGGGAAGGGAGGGGAAGAGGGAGGGCCCATATGCCACCGGAAGCTGGCCCCGCTGCCAAAGCTCCAGTGGAGCTACCTACATGCCCTGCTGGGCAGAGGCAGGGGTGGTGGGGGATGAGGCGAGGAGCGATGGCAAAGCACCATTTCTTGGTTGCTTCTTCCTGAAAGTTGGTGTCCCCCTCAAGTAGTGAAATATCCAACGGGGCCAGAGTATTTCAATTCGGGAGTGTCCCAGAGAAACCGGGACGTCCGGTCAGTACCTATAGCCCAGCCGAGGGCCCTTTCAACCTGCCTGGAGCAGGAACCCTGGGAGCCAGCAGGAGCTGCCCCCGCCTGGCTTGGAGGGGAACGGGGCCGGGGGCGCAGGGGCAGCTCTGCCCAGCTCGGGGGC